GTGGTTGAACGACATGGGAAACCGAGAAAAATTTTCGACATTTTAAAACGGAATTGGAGAATTTGTAGGATTAAAACGAATTGGATGAACCTTCGTAATAATTAAGGGATAAAGTTAAGATTCCCATCGTGGCAGGTAAGTAAAAAGTGTCATTTATCGCGTAATGGGCTGAACGAGCAGATAATCACGAGAAATGTTCATCTTCTGTAACTAAGATAAAGATCTGTGGAGTACTAGTAACAATAATGTCTTCGATCAACATTGAAAAACCTAAACTTTCTCATTCGTTAATCTACAATAAAAAGGATCTACAATAAATAAATGAATTAAGATATATTTCCATTTTAAATGGGTGGGATAAAATCCTACACGATTCAGTTGGTAAAATGTTGACGCGAATTACGAACAATTTCGCATTTTATAGCGCATTTATCTTGCAGAATATCATCGCTTCGTTCTAATACAATTATCGTTTAATTAAGTTAATTATAATAATTTCATTTGGTTGGGAGTCGCCAATGACCCTAACAACACCGCATTCAACGTGTTGAGCTGACAGCAATTTTTTTTCGGAACAGATATCTAAACAGAGTTTCCAACTTTCGGGGAGGATCTTCGAGACTGATAAGCCGTGCCTGGTGCACGGTCGCGACCAAGGAACGGTAAATTTGCTTAACTACCTCCCACTAGCGGTTTTGTTCACGGTTCTGCAGCTCGCTGCGTTGCGTCGCCGCGTGAAACTTACCGCTGCACAAAAGCTCGCAGCCGTCACTCGGCTTGGTACGCTCGCGGGCGAAATTAAAGGCCGCCGCGCGCATCCTCGAATGGGAACACCTCGAAACGCTCGACGGTTACGTAATCTACCGTCTAATTCACGAAAATCCAGCCACGGTTGCAATCTTTTGCCGGCGGAACGCCGGTCTCCGTCCTTTCTCGCGGTCGCGTGCTCCACTTCCGGCTGAACGCGGCGTCTTTAAGCTCGCCGCAAGTGGAAATCAAAGATTCACGAATATACTGAGCCTTTGCGAAGGCTGTATGTTAGAGACAATTAGTTTTCTTAGATATTTTTATTTTTATTTCGGTGGAATCGATATATTCTTTTGGATGTACAAAACGAAGAATGTGGTGCTTCAGATGTTTTCAATGGCTGGTTATTTATCTTTTTTCTATCATTGCTACACTTAGAGTGAAAAGTTTAACTGGAAACTTCATTTTATTACCAACATTTGTTATTAAACTGTATTATATTATATATCGTTACTTTTATTCAACATGTTTCTATTATTCTTTATCACTAAATGTACTGCAAACCGGTCAAATGACCGATTTTGAAATTCGATTAAAGGTTCTGCGTTTCCTTTCGTTCATTTAACTTTATATCAATTCCATCACTGTCCGATTAATCAGTTTTTCTATGTCTTTCCTTTTGCTTCTATTTCTACGAAGAAAGGTTTATCATCCAACTTGTTTATCTTTCTTTTGCAGCCAGATATTTGATTGATTAGAGTAGAAATAGGTATATATAAAGTGCTGCTAGTGTTATTATACAAAAACATACATATATTCCGCACGAGTATGTCCGAAAGTCCGTCCGTGTCCATGCATCGCCGCGTCAGGTCGACAATTTACACGATTAATCTAGGAATTTCGGTCCAACGACAGGTTCGAGCGGAATTTTCGTGGAATTCGCGGACACTCCCTTGTTGTTGCATTAATAGATCGAAAGCCCAGTGCGAGCGGTGTATTTCCAACGGCGGGTTACACAATATCCAGTTAAATCCGATAGAGCGACTCTCTATCGCGAGATCACGTATGGCCGTTCATTAGAATTAAAACGACCGCGTACCGCCGCTTTCGTCGATTAAGCTTATTATCGGCGTCGCTTTGTGTACAGATTAGGTGGCGCGGGTCGAAATCGAACGCCGTTACGACTCGCCCGCACGGAAATTCGTTCCGAACGCAGCGAAGGAAAGCCAAAGGTAGAAAGAAGGAAGTTCCTTTTTCCGTAGCGCAATGAAACTCGTGATTTCGAATTAGAATACCCTTTTGTATCGAGCTTCGTAACTCAGAACGTCGCTACTCCGGCGAAATTGGCTTGGACACAGTTGTGATCGACCGAATTTAACTTCCGGTTTTGAGCAATGGGAACATAAAGTTTTGTTGCAGTCGTACACGGAATATTGTTTATTTATGTATCAGTTTCGGAAGCACTAAACGCCATTGGAATAGTAGATTCCGAATATACTGCAGGCAAGAAGTATTTTATTACTGGGTTATGGAATCTGATGCATTCTTAAGTCTCCTATACAAGTTTTCTTTAGAAATATTCGATACTTTTTTTATGAGATACTGGAGATGTTTTTTTATATCAACTTAATAAATCACATGAATTGAGGAACAATGCTATTTTGTTTGAGTATTTCATAGATTGATGAATTACAGAAAGTTTAATAATAAATACTAAACTTTATAAATTTACTATGAAATGAAGTGGTGACTAATTGTAAGTGACAGATCTGAGGTGCAATGAAATACATTTGGAGATTAAAAGCAGTGACGACAACTTCCATCGAATTTCATTACTCTTCGCATTATCTACAAATTAAACAAAATATCACTTATGTTTAAAGTCCACGACAACTCATTATCAATTCTAACTTAAATCAATCTCCACGTCGCTTAATAACGTTTCTTCAATCGAAACCGCGTAAACGAAGTTCCTCATAAATTCCTTCCACAAATCCGAAATAATGTCGGATTTTAAATCCGAATGGACACGTGTGCACCGTTCATCGGAAACTGAAATCGTTTCCCGGGAATGCAACGCTTTATTTCATTCGACGTATTGTTCGATTGGCCGCGAAGGAGTTCACGGTAAAAATAACAAATATCCAGCAACGAATCCCGGCTTCCCTAAAATTCGAACAGTAAACTTCCGAGATTTTCCTGCGAAAAAACTTTCGGTTTTTGGAACGACAGTTTCACGCTCGAGTTTCCTTACCTGGCGGGTGCTGCATCTGCGCTGGAAACGTTTCCCGGGGTCGCCATTAAAAATTACATTTCCGCGTAAACTTTCGTAGGCCTCGCGGAATCCAGACTACTGTGTTCCTTTCCAGAAATGTATGCAAAACTCGCAGTTTCCTCGCCTATCTTCCACGTTCTTTCCGCCAAAATTCTTTTTTTCTCTCGCCTTCCGCTCGAAGAACTGCATTTCCGTAGAAACTTCCGCAAACTTCATGGAAACCAGAACTCAATGAAGACGCCGCCGACTTCCTTTCCGAGGAATAAAATTTTGTCGTCCTTTCAGTCACCTTTTACGATCTTATTCTTCCCTAGAAAATTTCCGTGTTTCAAAAGGGCGGAACTTTGAAAATAGTCGGATCGCTCATTTGACAAGTATGATAGAAAATTTCCTGTTTCTGCTGTCGTGTCTCGGTTTACTCTTTTCTCCGACATGTTTTATTCGAAATAATCGTGATCTCGGATACTTTGGATCTGTATTAGAAAATTATTAACGATAATCAAACCCTTCCAACGTTAATAAAGAAAGATCATCGCAATCATCCAGAATCCTTTATTATCAGGAATATGAACGGTTCTCTGTAGGAAAGCTTTACAAAGGACACAAAAGAATTATGTGCACTCGTTCGCTTCGATGAACCATCCACATAATCGAAAACTGAAGGAAAAGGGAAGGAAGCTTGCAGCTTCCTTTGAAGAAACAAAAACCTGCATCCCTTTCGGTGGCTCTCTATCGACTCCTTTTCCTTCTGAAATCGTTTTGTTTCCCCGTTAAAGCAAAATCTACGTGCGCGAACGGTTTGACGGAAGTTTCGGAAGAAAAGGACACGAGGGATACGTATCTGGGGAAGACGGGGAAATCCCAAACGGACCGGAAACACGTGAAATTCGGTGAAGGGTTGCAGACAAAGCCTCGGCGGAGCACGCGCGCGCAACCAGTCGAAAATAAAAGCACACCAGTCGAGTAAATAAAAACTGGGAAGCTTTTTCTCTTCCTATCTTTATCTCTTTCTATTTTTCTCTCTTTCTCGCCACGATGTTCTAGTGGTATTTTGTTAGCGAGGCCACTCCGATCGTCGGGTTACCGTCGCCGGAAAAAAAACGGGAGATCATGGTGGCTCACGCCCCGCTAAATCATTCGCCGGTATATTCCACCGGCGAATACGTTTCCCCGTGTTTTCCAAGTAATTATTTGTTATTTGGTATCGTACGGAATTAAATTATCGGTCCAGTAATATACACGGGACAGTCTGTACCGCTGTTTCAAAGGCTGCCCTTTCAATCGGAAACGCCGGAGGAATATATTAAAATAGGAGGACAATATTTCTGGTCAGTGAGTTCGATAAATTTAATGAAGATGAGATTTTATGCCTGTTTTGTGTTGCACTACGGGGAAACGCTGGTTCATTGCATTTTATTGTCACTTTAGTTTTCGTTTGTATCGTGCTTCTGAAGAATTAAACAACGTTACACTTCAAAGATTCAATTACGCAAATAAGAATCACTTTTGTATTTTTCTTGTGTGCGCATTGGATACATTAATGAGACCTCGGTCTCTTAATATAATGAATATGCGCTACACTACAAAAATTAGAGAATCAGTACACGGTAGAAAACGCTGACCTTTGAACTCCCGCGGTTTTTTCATAAAAGGTTATACAATATTTCACTCGTGCTCATTATAAAGCGTGAAGCTTCTACCTTCATTTTCCATAAGCCATTTCCTCCTGCCATATTTTACTTTACGTAACAGGTGGGACAGTAAATCGCTTTTTCCATTTTCAAAATGTTACGTTCTGCACCCGAAATATGCATAGTAGAATAAATTTGACGAACTCGGCCGTAAAAAAGATCGCGCGGCGGGGAAGGGAAAAGTTTTTAAATCAGAAATTTCCGTCAGGACGAGTTTCGCGGTCGAGTTTGTAGGTGACTGGATCGAGAGAGCGTTCCCTAATCCGACAATGTTTCCCTGTCCGCAGGTGACGATCTTCAGCATTCATCGACCGGACGTTCGTCCTGTGGGAGATCGAGAGCAGAAGTAAGAGATGGCCTTTCACTGGGACAAGCTCTCGCCGGCGGAATTTCAACAGCTCCAGGACTTGGCAGCTTGTAAGTAAAAAGTCTGACAACGGTCTCGCGTGTCGGCCGGGCTGGGTTGTAAAGGGACCGTGGGTCGGTGAGAAGCTGCGTGTCGTCCCTGGCGAGGGTCTTCGGAAGTATAGTAAATATTTTCGAAGGGAAATAACTCAAGGATCTATCCCATCGACCACCGAATCAAAGAATACACAATGTTGCGACCTCTTACTTTCATTGCTAAACTTTATCTTCAAACTTTCTTTTATCTATCAATTTCTTAACACGTTAAGCGCCACGAAAATCTTAAGCGTTTCCCCATAGAGTTTTTCTTTTGTAGCAAAGAAAAGCAGGAACAATTATTAATTATTTGGCGTTACAGTGTTTGCATTACACTGTTATCAACTTAGTTACGTTAGTAAACATTTTCATCTCACATCGGTTATCTTGTATGTTACGATTGTTTTCTAGTCAGAAATGTCAGTCACCAGTGACTGACAGGGCGCTTAACGTGCTAATCTTTAGGCTTTATCTTAACACGTTGACTGCTACGGTGGACACTAATGACTTGGTGTCCAAATTACTTGGAAACAATTATAAGAAGAAACCTAATGTCGAGTTAAAATGGTTAATAACACGAGTAACTGAATAATAATATAACTTCAGTACTATGATACCAAATCATTGATAACTAATTCTAATACCATTTGCCTTTGCCATGCCACGATAAGTAGTTATACGAAATACTCTAAATCCTCATGGCGGTAAGCATGTTAAACATCGGATCTTTTTCTAATATCATATTTCCTTATAATCAACATAATTGAAAGTTCATGGATTTCAAAAATATGTTCATCAGAAACTTCTCATCTGCCACAAAATTTGAATCACAAAAGTAATAGCAATCTAACTTTTCCAAAGAATCATACGGATGTTTCTAAATCGTATCGTAAACGCTTGAACCTAACGCAGCTACCTCTTCAAAAAGAAACCTGTAATTTCTTCAATCTCTTTTCGAATAACATCCCGCGGAGTTCGCTACTCCAAGATAAATCCGTGGGTAGAGGGCAAACACTGTCAAAAATCGACTTCGCTTAGGAAATAGTCGGCCGCGTCGTAGAACGAACGTCGAGGAACGAATGTCAACAGCTCGTAGCGTCGTTGGAAGCTATAATTACAGCGATATCAGGACGATATTAGCCGGCTCGCTGGCCGTTCTCAAACGGATCGGGAGAAGGAACGTCGGACAGGGAAAAAGGTAATGGTTCGGTCGGTTTATTGCGGGGGCCGCCCATAAGGAAGAGAACGAGGGGCGCGGACGGCGAGAGGACGCGCGATCGATCGGACATCTGGGATTCAGTTGTTTCCAGAGGAAATAACGCCGCGGAATTGACTAATAATAGGAGACCATTGGCCTAATCAACCGGCGCCGACGTCATAATGCACTTAACGGCCGGGGTATTTTTGGACGACGACTATTTTCGGGCCGATTGACGAGGACGATGATGGATCGCGGCTCTGCCGGGCCGCGTGATTAACGTCCACGCGCGGAAATTCACGCTTCCGTCCGAAAATCGGTCCTCCCCGCGACCCTAGCAATTGGAAATTGCGCTTGCGTCCAGAAAAATGAGAAAGTAAGATGACCACGACGAATTCTGGTCACGATTTTGGAATATTCCCGACGCTCGAAAAAGAGCTTACGTTTCTTGGGAATGAAAGGTTAAATGTTTTTTGAAATGTTTGAAGGGCGCAGGGGATACTTTTTAGCGCTGTAACGAATGAATTTTTTCAAGTATTTATTTGGAATATTGAGAGTGGTAATTTACTGTTGCATAGATCGGTTCTTTGATGTATAAATCTATGATAATGACTAAAGAATGAGTTTTGTAAAAAATGAGACAGTCTTGGAACAGTATCTTTTTAATCTTGATTCTATTGTCAATGATTCAAAATGTAACTTAAAGTAGATAAAGATCATGATTTCAAATAAAGCAAATTTTCTCGCAATACTTTTTCACCATGGAACATTCGGAATTTCCTCTGTTATTTTAACAATGACGATATTTACTTGTTGACCATCGCAGAAACGACAAATAAAAGAAGAGATTCGTCGCATATGGGCTCGAGTATCGAAAATTCCGAATATGCGAGCTGTTCGGTCTTCGGTTAAGCTCGTGGCTCACACGAGAAAGACACATTCTGGAAATTTGGAATTTATCTCGAGGCCAGACACGTCTCGACGCGACCAGAATATATTTCACTTCCTCTCGGACGATGCCTCTAGAAATTTCCATAATTCCATAAACAATGAAGCTTACGTTCCACGTCTTTCCCTTGGCATTCTGAGCGACGCGACTCTATTCACCGCTCTATTCATTGCAGTCATTAAAAAGGGCGGTAGGGAAAAATAGGGAGATCCGAATTGTTGGTCAGTTTTGAATCTCTCAACCCTTCGAGCTTCTTGCAACCCCTATAAGACGAACAATCGCGATTACTAAAGATCTTTCTAGTACAATTCCATTTGCTCAACCTGTCGTGATCCTTGGCTCACCTATTCATTTCAAATAATGTCGAGAAAATGACAAGAATATTAATATTTTTATTATAATATTATTATTAACTGAAAATTACTATTAACAATTTTACTATACATATCTCAAGTAGTTCAAAATCTTTCGAAAGTATCTTCAAAGAAGAAAATACGATCAGATCGAAAGACAATAAATTCCCAGCTGCATTAAAGAAATACAACGTGATTGGATCGAGAAAGAGCCGAAGAACTATAACACGTCCACTTCCCGAGATCTCGCGAGCGCGATAGTTTCAAGACCCGCGAAAGTTTCCCGAAATTCCAATCCGCAAACGCGAATCTTATTTTCCGTCGAGAATGATGGACGAGCGTTCGCACAGTTAGGTGGCCGCGGAACTTAGCGTGTTATTAATTCTCCCCGGATGCGGAAACAACGGTTTGCATAAATTTCCACGTGGCCGCATGAACGTTAATTAAACACTCGCGCGAAAGTCGAAGAAACGAGAAAATGAACAGAACAGGAAACGAGGTTTTATTCGACTCCGCGTTTTCCGTTGATACCCCTCTGCGTTGGTCAATGAAATATAAAAAGCCTTTGCATCCCGATCTTAATTATTGTTTCTCGGGAATGAAACAATTTTCTTCTGTATTCTGCGATTTATGTTCCCGTTTTTAATCATTGTTTCGCTGGCTGGTTGCATCGATGGTTAAACGACATTTCGATTAAACCGTTGTTATTATTATTTGAACATCTCTAATCGCAATGGCGTCAGCTTGTTTTTGGAATGTTCGGACGAAGGTTCACGCGAGATCGCGCACGATCGACACCGCAACAACGCACTACACGTCGAATTTTAGTTTCGACTCCATTGTTTCAGATTCCACGCGAAAGCTACAGGATGTCCTCACCGAATTTTGCGGTTCGGTAACAACGCCCAGCGGCGTGCCGAAATACCATCCGGATGGGGTAAGTTGTTTCATAAAGCCCTTTGTTGCCGCGATCGAACGCCGATCGTTCATCGCCAGCGAAATTCGACCCGTTGTTCGATTATCTATCACGTTCTCAATCGTGGGATTGGCAGTCACAATAAACCAATAGGCAGCTGATGTTCATACAAATTCACGAGTTTATAAATCAATTTGCCAAAAAGAAATTGAAATAAATCTTCATTCTCTCGAGTGGGAACTGTATCATGGTTATAATAACCATATAAATATCGTCGCAAGTTAAAATTCTTTTTACTTCATTAGTGTCGTAGATCAACGAAAATGATAAACACGCAATATTTGCGATTTAATAATAAATAAACTTTCAGAGCTCTAATTCCAATGTCAATATTTCGATAACCGAAATCATGGTTCACCCGGGTTCTTCTAAAAAATGTGTTTCCGAAAATCTTGAACGGCACACGTAGACTCCCGATATTCCATTCACGTAAAAGAATAACTCCAACAATTTCAGAAAAATTCGACACGAGAAGACAGATTAAATTCCGCAAACTTTTACATCCGAACGCTGAACTATTATCCGAACTGCTATCCGTCTCGTCGCTTCGAAACTCCCGACTTGTTTTTTCAAATTTTCACGGGCTTCGGGATTCGCCGAATATTTCCGTTAATTTCCCAGTTGATTCGAAGAAAAAATGCGATCTGCCGGGATACATCAAATTCTCCGCTGGAACGGGAGAGACGCGTGATGTCAGCGACTCACTTCGTGAATTCCGCGAGCAGCGGGAAGAAATAATTAGGGGCGGATGCGCGCGGTATATAGCGTAGAAATGGCCGCGCCGGGCTCGCCGTAGTCCCGATTGTAATTTCATCGCGATTTTTCGCCGACGCGCGGTCCTCGAAAGTACTTATCGACTAAATTTGCGCCGATCCGCGATATAATGCGTCCCCGCGGTGCATTTCTGGCCTGCGTTCCAGCCGCTCCGAATGCTCGCGAATGGCGCCGCCGGGACAATGGCGACGGATAATGAACCGCACCGGAAGAAATTATCGCTGTAATTTCGTACAAACATTTTCGGTGCCGGTTATTCTTGTCTCCAGCGGCGCCGATGATTTTCGTGATTTCTCTCGCGCAACTTTGCCCGAATATTCAGGGAACTCGTTAACGAAAAATCGGGATTTCCGTGAAACCGAAATTCCGGCAGGTTAACGAGGAAATCTTGTTATATTTTTTAGCTTTTCATTTGTATTGTAATGTAGGGCGAAATGTTAGGAATGAGGAAAGTAAAAAAGACAGTATGAAGGTTGTCAATAAAATAGGGCAACGTATTTAATATAATTAAATTTTCGTTGGAATTTCCTATCAGAATATGAGAGTCTTTGGCTGATTTAATATAATGTTGAATTTTATCATGGAAGCATCGAGCAATATTATTTATCAGTCGTTAATTTAGAAAATATTTCATTAAGAATTCAATTGTTTGATACATTCATTTGTTAATAATATACATAAATTATAGTATCATGATACGATTGCTAAAAATATAAATTTCTTCTCGCAGATTCAATATCGTCGAATGAAATATGTTCCGATTATCGGAAAAAATTGATACATTTTAATACAATTAGGAGACTAAAGGATCAATCAGAACTCGTAAATGAATCGATAAATTCAGGAATATCCATTCATTCGTGATGATAGATTGATAATTACCGATCGTGAGGTGCAAGAACGATGAAGTTCTATTTATAGTTATGATTAAGCTGAACGTTTATCAGGCGATTTTTCTCTCCGAGCGAGTCGAAGAATGCGAAAACCTTGGCCGCCGCCGCGAAAATCTTCGCAACAAGTAATCTCCATTAATCCCCGGGAAGACGAGGCCGGGACAGCTCGCAAATGAGTTCTCGAACGGGAAAAGAAATTAATGGCTGGGCGGAATCGAGGGTGACGTTGAACGGCGCGTCGATGCCGCGTTGCGTCAGCGGAACTTGGTTCTGAAACGCGTGGCCACGTATCGAAACCAGACACGAGAACGATATAAATGACCGTCGAAATATATCGTAACTGGACGAGAACACCAGGGGCGGCTACTCGATAGGCGCTATCGTGCTGCAACAATGACTCGAAAATGACCGATATTACAATCTCTAACGCTAGAACAACTGAGCATTTAACATGATCAATATGTAATTGTTATAGAAACTGTAACAATCGATTTATTTTCGGTTTCCTCGTACACTGTTCATAGTATTGGAATGAAATTAATTATAGTATTTAACTTATTAATCAAGAATCTAGTATCAAACCAATCGGAACTCGAAAAAATTCGTCGATCTGATTTAACTTTACCTTATAATATCGTGTAAAACTAACGATTAAAATTTTCGTCAAATTAAAATTTTTAATCAAATTCGACATATGTAAATGTTATTTACTGTTTTTGAATGGAAGTTAGATATTACTTTCACCGATAGTTAATCTTTACAGTAGACAGAGTAAATACCAAATTCGTTTCTATTTCTAATATTAATACTTCTTCTTCCTTGCGTAATCAAATCTTGGCATTCTTCTCATAATCAAGCAATCAATTTATCCTTAACGCTTTGCACTCGGAAGTTTATCACTACAAATATTTTAACATTTTCTGGTGAGATAAAGGCGATATTTTGTGAAACTAACTCGGAAAGAAATCATACGTACATTGAGGAACGAAGTTATTTTATTTCAATATTTTTCAAATTGATGAGTTATACAAGGTAAAATATTAAATATCAAATTTTATAATTTCACTGTATAAAATCAGATGGTGAGTGAGAGTCACCACTCAATTGCAAAGGATTAATATTATTACAATAAGTGACACTGTGAACATTTCTTATATATACATATTAAACATACTTGTATTGTTATTTAATGAAGTGTATTCAATATGTTCATTTTAATTTCATTTCAATACTCTGAGACCAGTAATGACGTGAACATGTTAACATACAGCATGCAACACGCTAACTGTAAAAATCCAAGAGCTGCCGCTGCCGGCCACGTTTCGTTTTACCGGCCGGATTTCGATATTCAGCGCTGCCGGAAGACAGGACCAAGTCAATACGCTTTTCAGTTTTCAATTTTTCCAGCTTATCGACTTTCCACGTTATGTCCCGGATATTTCTCTCGCTGATTGAGCCGGACGCATTTGTGCACTTGCATTTTCGGACTTGTGCTACTTCGGACATTGCGAGCTACGTGGACTGCTGTTTTCGGGTCAGAATAAATTGTTTTATTTTGTTGTGTTTGCTCCACGCGCAAATATGGAACTTTTCATTTAATATACGCGGCTGATCCTTCGATACCTTTGAATTTGCTTCGCGTTGTAATGTACATTATTTTCCCCGCGCGAAAGGCATTAAAACAAAATTGGAAGTCTGTTTCAACAACGTCGACGTAAATACCTTCGTTTCGTGTCTCTTTTCCACGCAATCACAAATTTACCGCCAAACTCCGCCAAAAACAATCATCGAACTTTAAAATCCAGTTCAACCGTATAAAAAGCAAAAGCTATTTATTTCGGTACATTTTGCTTCTGCAGTTTCGCTCAGAACGTGCACACGAGACTCCGATCAATTTCGATTTGACAGGCGAGTATAAAATGACGCGAAACTGCACCAACGGTAGTCAACGCGTTAACTTTCTCTTCGACGGCGAGGAGACTTCTTGACCGATCTAATCGTTAAAGTAGACAATCTCGGTGGACGTAAAAGGTAGTTGTACGAGGGACGCTGTTGTCTGGTTGGAATCGCGCCTGTGTGGTTGTTTTCACCCAGAATAAGGAATTCAAAGAAACACTGACTACCAAGAATTATTACAAATTCTTTACTGTCCCTTCTTAAGCAATAGATTACTCAGAAGTGTAACAACTTCTCTATTATCCCTTTATTACGAAGGACTGCGACAATTTTCCTATTACCTCTCCACAAACCAATTACTAATATCTTCAATTTACATCAGTCCAACGATTACAACATGCCCTACTTTCTTCTCATTGCACCATTCACCTGTATATCATCTGTTAGAAACTCAAGAAAGTTGCACCGTGAAAACCAATTATCTTAACCCTAATCTTCAATTATTCCAACCCTTACGTATTGCACATCGACCTATCAAACTACTCAACATCTCTATTTATCTACATTTTCCTTCGTGCATATCTAACGTTGAAACTCCATGCATCTCTTGATTCAACTATAACATTCAATCATTAAAATTACGAATAGTTTATGTTTCCATTTGCATTTTAGCGTTATAGTATACTTCGTCAGCAATCGGAGAGATCGAACGTACGACTTAAGGGTTAAAATGATCTTTCCCCGCGCCATAACACGGTAGCTGCGTTTCATGGGACATCACTATGGGATTGTTCGATGCTCGGGTCCTATCTGACGGCGCATCGACGATACACAGGGAGAACGGTTCCCGGAGAAAGTACAAAGCGTTAACACGCGCCGAGGGGGAGCGACGCGTCCCATAAAATCCCGAACTATTCCTGCGGCCATTACGGCGGGGATACGTTCGCGCGAACAGGTGCGAGTTATGGCAAGTTTATGCCGCGATGGTTACGTGTTTGCGTGCACGCTCGTGTGGCCGGCGCGCGGTGTGCTGCCGTTCCCAGTGCCCGACCACGAATCGGCGCGGTCGCATACGAACACTCCGAAATTCGCTCGACCTCGCACCACCCCGAGACGACGTTGTTTATCGTTCGCTGTAAATTTTATCGACGGCCAACAGATTACCCGTAATCGTTACGATGTAAGAAAATTTAAACGAGGGGAAAGTCGAACGCTGACCGCCTGCGCTTCGTCAATGCTTGCCTTCTTAACCCTTTCTCTTTTGCACACTCCGCACTTCTCATTCGACATGCAGTTTTAGCTTAATTCTTAAAAGTTATCGTTGCTATTCGAGGAAATTTTGTTTTCAAGCAGTAACTTGTAGCGCAGTAAAACGCAAAAAACGGACGTTTCCTGGGG